CTCCGGGCTCTTCCTCAGGCTAAATTTGTTTTTTCCATTGGAACGTACTCTGCTTCCTAAAGCTCAAATATGGAAGGAATCCACGTGCCACTTCAAATTAATTTTCATTTTGACCAATGGGGATACGTTATGTGCACCTTATAGTAATTACATGTATCACTTATCAATTTTATGATTTATTGTCTAATAAATATTGCCAAGCCATTGAGAGATTCATTTCATCCTTAAAAAACGACATTGTCTACTTATACAACAAACCTGGGCATAACACTAATTTTTAATGAGGCACGGGTTATCCACACCACCCAGCATCAAGAACATTTAAGAACTTTGGAAGCGATAAAAATTTTTACGACCGATTGCAAATTAACGTGCATTAATTTTAAGGATGAAATGAATCTCTCAATGGCTTGGTAATATTTATTAGATGATAAATCATAAAATTGATAAGTGATACATGTAATTACTATAAGGTTGTGCACCTTATAGTAATTACCGTATCCCCATTGGTCAAAAAGGAAAATTAATTTGAAGCGGCACATGGATTCCTTCCTTATTCGAGCTTTAGGAAGCAGAGCATGTTCCTAGTTAAACACATTTGAATTAAAGAATCCAGTTCCAACGGAAAAAACAAATTTAGCCTGAGGAAAAGCCCAAGAGAGGCATTGAAAACATTTGCCAGTTTTGGGTATTTCACGCCAGTTATTTGTTATAGAGTATGTGTTTCATTATATTAGAAAATCTTTGCCCCTTCAGCAGCACAGTTTTTACTTTTGGAAATAGCCAGAAATCACAGGTGAATAGACAGGAAATTCTAATTGGATAAGCACTTTTTTAGCCAGGAAGTCTTTTACTATAAACATACTGTAAGTTGGTGCATTGTCAAGATGAATAATCCACTTATCTGGCCACAATTCAGGTCTTTTTCTTTTCAACAGAATATCATGATCTCTTCAGCACCTCTAAATATCATTATTGGGTGACTGTATGTCCCTATTCAATAAATAATACTTGATGGACTATCCTTGTTTTCAGCTGTCCACTTTGGGGGTCAGCTGTCACATCCCACCCACCTTTGAATCTCATATGCCACTCAAACATACTAAACATTTTCATAGCATCTTCACCATGTGCCACTTTCAACAGTTTTAACATTTCAATAGTGCTTTTTCTGATTTTCACACAAAATTTGATATTAATATGACATTCTATATTTTGATTGCTCATTTTTATGCCAAAGTGCACATACAGGTCTTTATTACTTCCCCAATAGCTAACAACTGGCTCTATCAGCTTGAAATTTATGCACATATTAGTTCAAATACAAATAATACTCATAATTTCAATATAATTGTATCACATGGCATCATGTGGTTATTCCAAGAATTAAATTGTCACACCTTGTATATATACATACATGCTTCAGGAAATCATGCACATATTCAGAAATTTCAATATACAAGTGTTCAAAAATTTGGTTTTGTGGAAAACCAAATGACTGGTTTTCTCAAAACCAATTTTAAGTTATAACATTTGGCACTTTCTATATATTAAAATATAATTATCATATTTCCTCAATTAAACTCTAGGGTTTATTTTTAAAACATATATATCCCCAGAGTTTTTTCAAGGCTGTAATTTATTACATTACAATACAAGATGAGTAGGTAAAAATTGAAAGAAATATTTTAATTACATGTACATTTCCAGAACTATTTAAACCATTTATTAACTGTATTTATTACCACTACAAAATTTTCAGTAATTATTACTTTCATAATTAACCTGATTCAGAGTCTTCTCATTTGGTTGTTACATTGTCATTTGTGTTTGTTTTGATATCATTGTTGAAATCAAAATCTTAACTACCATCTTCTAGTTCAAATTCACCATTTCCAATTCAAGTTTTCTTAATTATCTTTCAGCTGTTGACTTATGAACTCAATTGTGACTTTTTCACATTCAATATTTAACAATAAAGTACAATCTCAGTAATCCAATATATATGGGACCAGAACAATGTTTAATTAAGATGACTGACAAATTATTGGAAGAAAGATGAATTTAATGAATACACAAACAAATTTGACAGCATAGAGTCAACTGTTAATGATGCAGCAAAACACAAGTTGGACCACTGATCAAAACAACCATGTGTAGCATGGAATTCAACATTGATTGCTGTTGCCAGCAATCAATGCTGAATTCCCACCAAATGTAGTGGGAATTTTGTGGGAGGTACAGTATTTTTGGATGATTTTGGGAGACTGATTTTTATGTTTTTTCAGCATTTTGTTATAAGATACTGTAACTTTTTTGAACAGCCTAAGATAACAAGCTTAGCAATCTTTAATATTATACCAAAGTTCAAATGTTGAAAGTTCATATCAATACCATGCATTTAGTAGAAACACATGAAATTTAGAGGAAACTGAAGTTTGAACTAGTGGGAAGCTTTTTGTGACTTAATAGCAGTGTGGTGATACTTGAAAGTCCACAGTGTCAAATTATATTAAATTAGAAAAGCTAAAAAGAAAAGTGTTAGATTACGGACATGATGAATTAGTGAAGGGCTGGATAACTGAAATTGTACTGTAAGGATAATTTTATTTGCAAAAGTGCTTCCATGCATGTTAAAATAGGAAGAGCTGTCTGTTTCTAGACAATCTGAAGAGGTATACTTTACTTAAATTTCTTATCTGTCACTTAGTTAAATTACATTACCCTATAAAGTGCAATACTTCAACATGTTTCCCATGCTTTTCAACCCATGGTTTATTTTTAACAGCATCTTTATTCCTTGGGTTTATTCAAAGACCAGGAAATTAATCAAGGAAATATAGTATCTGTAAATAGCATTTATTCAAATAATCTTCAATCCTGTCTATACTGATTATCTATTGTTTGGGATCTTCCAGCAGATTTTCATTTCATAACATTTTCCTTTTTTTTAAACTGAGTGATTTTTTTCAAATTAATAACCATTAATTTGATTAATTTCTTGGAATAATTTTTGTTCTGTAGATATCTGATCTAATCAAAACAGTGATAATTGATTTAATTTAATACATGTCAAAAAGCATTGAACTTTCCATTGAACAGATGTCACATAGTAGCAAAGGATGTTAAATTATCTCATATGAAAAATTTTCATTTAACTCATTGTAAACATAAAACCTGAGAACATATTTTAGCTTCCAATTCATGTTAATATATGGAATGTCTTATGGTAAATATTTCCTGAAAAACATTTTTAATAGAAGATTTAGCATATATTTCAATTTATCATAATGTTATTTTTATGACACCAATTTCAAAAGAATCTTAAAATATCTCCAGCAGAAAGTTTGAAACATTTGTCTATATTTTAGTTTATTAATCTATGAGTAAGATCTGCATGTTCCAAACTGAAATGCTAGCAGAAACATGATGTATTTTGATTATTATTGAACATGTTTAAAATATATACAAATATATCAAGATATACAATTATCTTGTTCTGTATATTTGTAGTGATTTCAAAATATAGAAGATACAATTTCTGTAGTATCATTAATGTTTCCAGACTTTTATGTAATATATGTGTTATGACACCATGGAACAGAGGACAATAGACACAATAAGCACTATCCATCCTCCACAGCTACCTTATTTCTTGGGTGAGTAGAGTGTATTTGCTGATTTTTTCAGTGTGAGCATTTTTCATGTTATGAGTGTTTGGAATGGCTATGTTTATTATATAAGCAAGCTTATTGCATTTTTCAATGAAAATGATAAAGCAATTTATCACAGTAGATCTGCTATCTGTGATTATGTCTCTATCTAAATATATAAAATTACTTATTGTGACTGACTGATTCATCATCGCCCAGAGCAAACCACTGAACCTGAAGAAGTGAAATTTTGTACACAGTTAGGGTACATCATGAAAACGCACACTAAGAAGGGATTTTTGGAAATTCCCCCATGGGAGGAGAGGGAGAAGATTAAGGCTTAACCTGAAGAACGGTTTCTACTGTACTATTTTAAATGCGATTTTTTGTTTTCAACTACGTTTAGTCTTCATTGAGTACTTAGGTGTATTAAATTGATAACATTTCAGACATTGTTATAAATATTTTTATATATTTCAATTTTTTAACCAAATGTTCAAACCATTTTAAATTTGAATTTGTTATTGCATATTTGTTCAATTATAGAACAATTGTAAATGTTCCTGAAAATTGATCAAATTGAAAATAGTTCATTTGATTCTCAGCAATTCTCATCATTCTCAGAGGTAGGTGTTATATAACAATTACTATGGTTGTTGAAATACTGAATATAAATGGGGTTTGCTTGCAAAATCCGTGCAGGCGAAGTTGCGGGTAACAGCTAGTCATAGTATATTTTGTGTGTGTCATTTTTCTAATACTATCTGAGATGCATATTTGTAGTATAATACATTGATGCCTAATAATCTGTGTTTTTGTGCATGTTGGAAAAGCCGAGAAAGTTACATAACTTGTTGCTAGATTTTTTAATAAAGTACAAAGTGAAGATTTTAGAGATTTTATTCTGTCAAATTCTGAAGTATAAAGTGTCCATTTGATGATATGTAAATTTTCTATCATTTTCCTGGCTATAAAAAATGAAGAATGCCATTTTTTTTTTTTAGTTCTTAATTCATGATATTAAATGTGATTACTGTTTTTTTTTCTTTTGTCAAATGTATTCAAGAAAGATTAGTGCTCAAGTTTTTTATTTTTTTATACATTTGAAACAGTTATTTTCATAATATTGTTCTTAGATTTTTATTTAGGCTATTTGGTATAATTTGTTTTTAATTAATTATATTAGAATAATGATACTTATTTTAATTGGTATGATTCAATGTTGTGTTCAACTTGTAATTTTTTTAGAAGTATATTTCATATGCTTATTTTCTGATATTATTAAATTTAAATTTATTTTTATAAATTTAAATTTAATTTATTAAAATAACTTCAAAAATAACTCACCATCCCTGGACATTCCAAGTGCTATACATTTTTGTAAACGGCAATATTGGCACCTATTTCTATTCACTCTATCAACCACACAGTTTTTTTGCCTTGGGCATTGATAATTTACAACACCAGATTGACTCCTCCTAAAAAAACCCTAGAAAAAATTTACAAAATGTAAATATAAAATTATTATTTCAAATACTATATCATACTTAAATAGACAATCCTTAATATCAATACAAACTGATATTACTTAATAATAAACCAATTAATATTTGTGTTCATTACTAAAATCATCTTTTCATTTAAATATATATTATGCAAAAGGAGTACATCCAATTCTTCTTTTATTCTGTAATTTGTTCCTGAAAAATCTATGTAAAAAAGATACTGTCTGTATGAAAAATGGAAAATTGGTTTCAAACCATAAAAGTAATAAGATAAATCAATTAATATAATAGTACTTGTCTAAACAAAATATTTCAATTTTAATTAATAAATCAGAGAAGGGATAGCTTTAACTTACGTATCAGCAAAAGTTAATAAATTTATATAATTTCTTTTATTTGACTTTTTCAATTAAACAGTAAAATACTTTTAACTTTTAACATGAATTTGAATACAAAAACTATTCTGTACTGAAAAGAAACCAGAAGAAATGTAATCCGCAAATATTATGTAATTCAAACTTTGAATTACATATTATTTCGTCCACTAGTACTTATCTATTAACATTTGAATTACATTTTTCTGACATCTTTAATTATGGAATAAAGTAAGAATGAAAGACCGATTGTTACTACATACATTGAAATAAGTTGTAATAAACTGCAAAAACAACAAAATTTACTTGACCATGTGTGGCAGCCTTAAATGCATATACTAAGATATAGTTGTTTAATATTGATGTTAATTTAATGATAATTTTTTTGAACAGTAATTAGTTAGCATTAATTCGATCAAAATCTGAACCATGAGCTATATTAAATTGCTTTGAATAAATTGTGCAATCATCAGATAAAAATTGATGTAATAGTAAAAATAACTGTAGCATAGCAAACGTAAGTAAACAAATTAATGTTGCACAAAATTTTATCATATTTTATTACAACAATGCCATTCCTGATAATTAAGTTTTATTGTAATTAAATATAATAAAATTTTGTGCAATATTAATTTCTTTCTTTACTTTTTGGTATATTACAATACATATACATACATGCTACAGTTAATTTTTATCCAATAATTACAGTCTTCATTCATAACAATTTAATACAGCTTCAATTCAATTAAAATCCAAATCATAAACTAACTAATTACTGTTAAAAAAATTATCATTGCTTAAAATTGATGTTAATTTAACTTTATCTGAAAATAAATTTATTTGTTCTGAAATCAAACTTACATTTTCTGAAAATCACTTTACCTTTCTGAAATAGAATTTACTTTTCCTGAAATTGAAAATGAAAAGGTGTAGAAATAGAAGTATGAATATTTTTCTTTGAATTATAATCAAATGGAGATTTTAAAAACGGCAAGTTTGTTGAAATGTATTAGATCAAGACAAATTGTGTAAAAAAAAAAAAAAAAAGAAAGAATTGGATGTAAGCTTAAATTGTCAAATTTAATAATTTATTCCAATATATAATCATTAAATTCAAAAACATTAAATAAAAATAAATTTTATATTAATAAACTTCTTAAACTGGAATCCTGTTCCAGCAACAAGTTTTGTAATGGATTATCATTATTGCCTTCTTTATTATTATTTTTGTATTTATGAATTTTATTTTGTTATTTTAGTTATTTGTCATTAACTCATGTTTGGACACTGGTAAGAATGTTAAAATTTAAATTTTTAAATAATTCTATTACACCAACCAATGTCAAATATTATCGGACTAGAAATGGCTATAATATTAATAATTTATAAAACAATTTGGCACTAGAGTTAGGCATTAGGCACCATCTCTTGATAAATTTAATAATTATAATTTTAATTAAATAATTCAGAACTACTGGAAGAAAAGAATCGGTCCAGAGTGGGACTCGAATCTGCAACTCCTGCTAACCGTGCAGATGAGTTGCCAATTATGCTACCCAGTCCACCAGTCTGATCTCCTCTTCCAGTATATACAAGCTTACGATATAACCATTGATGGTTATTACAATGCTGGTTGGGGATGCATACAGCACCCACGTCCTATAAACATCTCACAGGCACTCAAATGGCAATCACAAACCCCGGCAAGGCATATATAAATAAACAAACATCACCACTAAACCTGATATATTTTAAAGCTATACACCAACCAATGCCAAATATTATTGGGCTAGAAACAGCTATTATAGCCATTTCTAGCCCAATAATATTCAGCTAATTCTATTACACATATGTTTCATCCTGACAATAACTACTAAAATAGCAAAAATGTTTGATAAATGAAAAACTTGTTGTTGGAACAGGTTACAGCTTTAACTTTAACCTTTTTAATAATATAAATTTAATTTTTTCAGCAATAAAATNAACAATGTATTAAAAAAATGCATAAATTTAAAATAAAATTTAGAATACAGAAATTACAATTTATCTGAATATTGTTGCATAAATAAAAAACAAACTAACAAAAACAAGTTAAATTAAAATTATTAATAAGTTAATAAATGTTTATTAATAAATAATTTTAGTTTTTTTTATTGCTTTTATTGTTTGTTAATTAGTTTTATTTTCAAGAATATAATAAGTGCTTAAACTTTCACTTCAATCTTTCATTTAGATAAAATCTAAATTATTTAAAATCATATAAAGTTGTTGAAATGCCCTATTATATTAATAATATCAAAATTATGTCATTACTAGCATTTACTCCTAAAAATGTCTTCAGAATTAACTTAAATTGTTACATGATCATCATCAAATAATCTAGATGATATTAAATTATTGAATTACTGTATTGAGTTATTTTCAGGACAGCATTTTCTAGCTTACTATTTGCTATTTCTAAATCTTATGTTTATTTTTATAGTTTTTAACCTAATTCAAACTTTTCTGTAGTATGTAATGTAAACTTTTTTTTTTCAGTTAAAATATACAAAAAGTTTTCAGATTTATAAATTTGAAAGTTTAACTAAATTGTTGTTTATCAGGCATCTCACATATACTGAAGCAAGTTAGTTTGTTAGTTTCAAAACACAATTGAAAATCACTAATATAATATAAGTACAGTACATATAAAGAAAGATTATTAATCATTCATTTAAAAATTAACCTATATATATTTTTAACTGTATTTTTATTTAAATAATGTTTCATTTGATAGTCAATAGAAAAATAAATTTTCAGAATTTTTATGCTTATATTTCTAAGATGTTTGAAAATATAAAATTAAAACATTATACATAGTATAATGCATATGGTACCTAAACTAAAAAGAATTAATGCATAGAAACTGTGAAGTTAAACTAATTATAAATAATAAGTATCTACTGTAAATCAGAATATAATGTGTCCAAAAATTAATGATAGGGTTTCATGAAATTATTGTGACAAACACATTAATCATTATGCTCTGGGAGTTTTTGTATTCCAATTAGTAACTCAAGTATGTATGGTATTAGTAGATATTTATATGTGTATCATTAATAGCATGGCATACATGACATCAAATTTTAATTATTTCATACCATGCTCAATTAAGAATGTCTGGAATGATGCATGTAATTGCATCATGGACATTTTTCCTTGAAATGAACCAAATCCTGAAGTCCTTTGCTTTACAACAGTAGTTCCCATTTGGCAGTTATGAATCCAAGGGCATTTAAGACCCAGAGTTTATGCTAAAAATTTTGCAAAATATTGCTAAACTGTGTTTTAAAAAAATTCAGAAGCAAAATTAAATTTACAGTTTTTAAAAAATAAATTTTAACTTTTTTATAATATTACCATTATTCTCATAATCTTTTATATTAATTTAATTATATAGTAAACAACACACAATACCAGGGTGTAGTTAACAACGCAACCTATGAACCGATGAACATTTCTCTTTTGTTTTTTCGTCGCACACTGGTCATCAGTTCATAGGTATGTTGTTTATATAGTTTGACTTATAAAAACACTTGAAAAATTATTTATCAAATTAAATTTTCCTAACATTATGATTATAGGATAATTTTTTCATTCATTATAGATTAACTGAAATCTGAAAAGTGTGCTATGTGTAAATTAATTTAAATTTAAAAATCATATTTAAGTTATCAATAAGCATCAAAATTTACAAATTCAATTTAACATTAGAACAACATTCATATTGGAACAGTTAAACACTTTCATCATTAAAAAACTTAGATTTATCATTCAATATTGCCCAATTTTTTGATTATACTAGATCAGCAATGGCAAACCTTTTTCTGAAGATAATAAATTTCAAATTCAATTTTGACCTAACTCCAAATCATGGATCAAATATTTGAATAATTAAAAAAAAAATAACAAATACTGTTTATAATTTATTTAACTTTTTAATTTATATCAGAAGAATAACAATAAATTCTATATAAGTGAAAAGAAAAATAATTGAGATTTATAAACATAAAACTGGGAAATAAGATAAAACTTTAAAATTCCACAACTCTTATATTGTTTCACTTTTTAATATAACTTACAAATATATTTGGCCCTCATGATAGACTTTGGGTATATCACTATATTAAAACCTTTACCAAATCTGAAGTTTGAATGAAGGATTGTTCCAAACATAACTAAACAAATTATAAAATTGACAGAATCAATAAAATCTATCTTCAGTAATTTTTATAATTTATGCAATTTAGTAAATTTCAATCACTGAACTTTGAAAACTTGTAATAGTTCTATTGGAAGAAGATCATTAATCAACTTAGCAACTATTTGACAACTATTTTTTAAAATATTTGTGTCTTTTTGCTATTTTTAGCAATTTTGCAATTTAATTTATATCTGTTTAACAGACTTTTATTCTGTTTCAAATAATTTAGGTTTAACAATCCTATTTGAAATTAGAAACTTATGTCTAAATAATTTAATTAAAAATTTAAAACATACCTTACAACCCTCACATGTTATTACACCATAATGTACACCTGAAGATTTGTCACCACAAACTTTACAAGGAATAATTTCAATCTGAGCTGTAAAAATATGGAATTTTATATTCATTCATTATGAATATGATTTTAATTATATTACTACTAAAATTTCAAATTAATAATAATTAAATTTGATAAAAAATTATTTATAACTTCACAAAGATTACTTTAAAAATCAGCAATGTTTAAATAAAAAATAACATTAAAAATTTTAAATATTAATAATAGGAATTATACATTTAGTTTAATAGTTATTAAAATTTTTCAAATGATAATTAAAAGAGTATTTAAATATTATCAAATTATTTTTAAACAGCAAAATAAAATAGCATTACATTATGACTACAGAATTGATCAAAGATACCAGGTTATACTACTATAAAATAGGAAGAAGTTGAGAAATGATCTACAAAAAAAAATATAGATGAAGATGAGGATAAAAAACAAGAATAAACAGAATAGACAGATGGTCAAAACCTTTTTGGATTAAAAATTATGAATATAAAAAGATTTATACAATATTATTTTTAAGTCTCTTTTTATACCCTTAGTGAATTTAATTATGTTTAAGAGTGGTTAAACTTTGACAAGGATGAATCAGTGACTATAGTTAATCTGTAAAACTAATTAATGGATCTTTAATTGTGGATGAAGTTGCAGTATCTTCAAAATAAAATTTGTTATAATAAATATATAATAAAATATTTTATTTTAATTTAACAACCTATATTTAATTCATTGCATAAATATATTAAAACAGCAATAAAGTGAATGAAATTGTATAATCCCAGGAATTCAAAAATGTTTATGGTCTTGAGAACAGAAAAATAGCTGAGACTCAAACACTATTCACATGAAATGAAGAAACAAAAGTATCTCCATTGGAGGAAGAGGAGATTATGAAAAAATTTTCTTCATTAGCTTTTCATCTCTGTATAAAAAAATTCTATGTAAAAAGATGTTACATTATCAGTTTAACATTAGAATTCTTTTGCTCTTATTCTTCATCTAATTTTGCTTTCCTGTAGTAATTAGAATTTATAAATTGTGGTAACTGAAAAGTGAATATAATACCCAATCTGGATTGTATTTTTTAATATAGTGTAGAGGACAATTTGTATACCTTAACTGTCACATATCTCCAAATCTGAGAAAATGTCTTTTAAAGAAATTTAAGCAATCCATACAATGATTTTTACAATTGATTTTTTTTTTGTGTTTTTAATCTATTTATCTATTTACTCCAAAACAATATTCTGTAAAATAATTTTACTATATCCAAAATGGTCCTATATTATTAGATTAATATACATAAAATTTGAATATCAACAGAAGTAAAACAATAGTAATAAATTCATTTAGCATTTAAAATTTGACCAAATGATATTTAAAATTGAAACTTAAATTTAAACACACATCTGTTTAATAAATTTTAATCATAATCAAATCTACATTTTATACTATCAATTTAATAGTGGATACAACAAAATATATAAACTTTATAGTTTCAATTTATTTAATTCTTTTTAAAAAAGAGTCTTTCATATCTCTAACTGGATAAGATTATTTACTAAAATATAAATATTTTAGTATTATTTAATAGATTAAAAATATAAAAAAATTATGATTGCTGACAGTAAATTTTATTCTAAAATAATCATGATTAAAATTCAAATTTAATATATAAAACCAGTTATTCAGATTTTATTCATTGTAAACAATTAACAAAAAACTTGTTACAGATTTTTATTATGAGGAGGCTTGTTTCCAAGAAATACTGTGCTAAAAATCAAAATTAATCCTCAGAATACAATGCAAATATATTATTATGAAGTTAAAAAACTACAAATTAAGCAGACTTAAAAAAAATGACTTTCAAAGCAATAATTATAGGAAATATTAAATTCCAATTTCAAATAAAGAATTAATATAGCAATCTTATATTATTATTCACATACTGTATATTCCTTTAATTCAGCAGCATTGACTTTCATGTGTTATTTAATTCATTTCACTATAAACTCATACTGATTATAAAATGATTTAGATTAAAAAATTGAATTTTTACTTAAATATTTTATAATGCTTATTGTTATATACAGTTTTATTTATGATAAATAATTTGTGATAAATCATACAATTCTTTTCATTATAAAATATAATATAGATATAATTTTATGATTTATTTTGGCCAGCTGTTAGATTTTCTGTTAGCATTACTGCACAAAACTTCCACAACTTTTTATTCAAACTGATAATATTTAAATTTTTTAAAATAATGTAAAATGTATATTTTCACTGTTTCGAGATCATTTAACAGATTACTTTGATTAGAAATGTTAGATAATATTAATATTTATGAAAAGTTGTTCTAAGTTACCATTTAATAATTGTTTTTATCCTCATATTCAAAATCTACAAGTTAACAATTATTTTTAATTTTTAAAAATTTCATCCAGTTGGACTAGATTATGAAGTAGGAATAATGAAACTATAGAAAAAAGAAACTACAGTATCTAATACAAGTTTAATCTTTTTTTTTGTTTTTTAGTAAAAACAGTTATTATTCAATTTTCTATTTTGTGCACAGAACAAAGCATTTCATTAAAACTTATAATAAATTGGATTATTGGTCTAAAAGTATAATGCATTAATTCTGCATGATAAATATCGTGCAAATTGTAAAAATATCATCATGGATAGCCACTTCATAAAGGTTGCTTACCTATGAATAATGAATAATTGAAATTTGGTAGTAATATTTGAATATTAATATTATAATCATGTTTCTTTCAATGATAATTATGACAAGTTGTTTATTGTAAATAATGATTATTGCAACATATATACTGCATTAACAATTAATATTATAAATTGGTTTATTCTGAAATGTATAGATTGTGGTAAGAGTTGATAGTTTGAATATGAAATGTCAAGTTAATAACTACTTTTGTATACTAAATAGTATACTTTTTCAAAAATTATATATCAATTCCAAATAAATATATTATAATTTTTGAAAAAATGCACTTTATACAACAGCTGAGTAACATTTAAACTAAAATAAATCAGAAAGAGAAATTTTTATTTTACAAATTAACTGGCACTTCTTCTATACAGTATTTTGTTACTTTTCAGAATTATCTTGAAAAATAACTAGTTTCCAAATTTTGACTTTACTATGGGTATTTTTTAAGGTAAGTTCAAAATTTTGGAAACATTCAGCTACTTGTTCAGAAAGATTTGAAAATTTATAAAAATGCAGAAATCAGCTGAAATGTAAAAAGCAAACAGATTTTACTGTCAACTTTTTTCCCCATTAAAAATTGTTCATTGCATATTTGAAAATTTGCTTTAGACAAATATACTGATCGACTTCTAATACAAACTAATCAAAATGCAAAACAACACAAAATAGACAGTCTGAATAGCTGTTATTTATTGAATAAATAACAGCTATTCAGACTTAATTATTAATTAGATTTATAGAAGAAAATGGTTATATGTGATTATTTTTTTTTTAATAAAATCATATGTAATCAGATAATTTATTTATAAATAACTTACAATATTAAAAATGACTTCACATTTTAAAAGTCAAATCAATGATCAGGAAAATCTAATAGCCTATATTAATTTTATAAATAAAAATTTAGTAGCATTATCTTTGCAAGAATTTTCAGCACATTATTGTTTCCTAGAAAAATGAATTACTTGTTATAAAATTTCGAAAATAAAAAAATCACGGGTTTTGAAAAAGAAGACATTTAAAAATGATTAAATGAATAACTAATACATAATTTAAAACTTTTATATTAATTCTCAAGAACAGCAATGTCTGCAGTGTGTAAAAGATAAACAATTATAGCAATAAAATTTTATTGCTACAAAAGTTAATTATTTACTGTGTAAAATAAGTTGTATAACTAATATATAAAACATTCTAAATTCTCAGCATCCTTAAAATGCTCATAAAAAACTTTACTGGTAATAATTTTTTATATTAATAATTAATTTTCACATAAATTAAATATATAATGAAAAGGTAAAAAATGTCTTTAAATATATATTTCCTTTGTATATATATTGTTCATATATTAAATATATGTTTCCTTTGGCAATTTATGTATTTTTGATGAGATATTTATTTTCTAGAAAAGTAAATGTAAGTTATAAATAATTGTTATAAATATGTGAATATGGTGGTTTTTTTTTTTTTCAATTTTGAAAATTGAGTTAATCAGGAAATTTTAATAAGATAATGAAAAAACCCTTGTCTGATAACATAATATAACAATACAGTATTACAATTTATAATTATTAAAAGTACACACAGTGAAAGTCTTAAAACTACAAATTAAAAACTATCAAATTTAAAACAAATTTTAAAATTTATAACCGGTGTTATCAATAAACTAAGTGTAATTGTTTCAAACATTATATGATTTTGCCATCAAAACTGTTAGTATTGATGGCAAATCTCATTTCTTATATATGGCTATAACAGCTCTTAAATTCAAATCTGTATACTAGGTAAAGAATAAGCTGAGTTGCCTGAAGATATTATAAGTTTTAATTTTGTATTATAGTATTATAAACAGCAAATTCATTCATTATTTATGAGTCATCTTAAAGTATTATATATTATTCCCTTTCTGCCACAACAAATCTTTGAACCCAGTATAGATTCTCACGATTTTTCATGAGCAGTGCAAATTAATATGTCATTCTCCATCTTGCTAGCCATCCTACTACACATAAGGCTCATCTGTAATTGGTAAAAAAATGAGGTCAGCAGTATAGCATGAAAAATATCTTATCTTAACAATTTCAATCCTATTTTTCTTGAATAACTCAAGAACTATCTGAGAACAATTTCAAATGCAAACTACATTTTACAATAGAGTTGATGCAGATCTTATTCTCTTAAAAATTACTTGCACCAATTCTAAGAGAATTATTTCCTGAGAAAATAGCTAGCATCTACAACAATCTAATTTGAAGTAATAATAATTTCATATCAAGATCTAAATAATAATCAT